CTATTGAATTAATTAATGGCTGTTCAATTTCCCGCGTGGAGACGCTAAAGTCGACCTAGATCTCAGTGCGGTCTCTTTACTAGGCCTAGGTCTATTAGGTAGCTCGAACAAAAACGAAGCAGTTAGCAGGAGCGAAAAAAAAAAAAATCAGCGTAGCTTTAATCATCTGGCATTAAAACTGGTCCAGCATTTCCCTTTATTGAAAAAGTGGCATATGACCAACAACATCAGAACTTGCGGATTATGAAATATGATTCTAACTTTAAACTAGACAACTAAGCCAAGGAAGAGTCCTTTTTGAGAAGATCACAGAACCTCGGCTAGTCAAATGACGACGACAGTCTTCTGAGTACTCATCGCCCTGATGATGGAAGCAGGAAATACCTCCGAAACGTAGGTAAAATTCTACCAGACTACAACCCAGGAGACAGCAATCTTATTTATCCAATATAGATTCTGTTTTGAGTTCTTTCAATTGTACGTTTTATTTTTTATATTTAATCCAAGTGTATTTGCTGTTGTTATGAATATTAATTTAGCGCTTGTAGTGGTGTACAATTTAATCCTCGGGAATATTAGATAGGAAGAAAGGCAGTCGAAACTACGTGTGACAGAACGTTCCCCGTGTACAAATAAAGATATTTTAAATGTTAATTATTGTAATATTTTAATATTTAATAAGAATTTATTGTGATTAGACGGACAAGATTTAATATATACTTATTATATCACAATATGACGCAACTTTACCATCTTATAAAGATATTTTGTAAACCAGCAGTAACATACGAACCACACCTCAAGGATTAATGGCATTGTAATCGATAACTCTACTGGTTTCCTTAATTCGTCACGGCATTTCAGAAAACCTAATACCTCGGTCAGAAGGAGTGGAGATTACAATGCGTCTTGGTTTAACAATTTTTAACAAGGTTGTTATTTATATGATAATGAAAAAGCAAAATGTTATTTCGTAAGTCGATACTATTCAGAATTTTAATGACGTTTCGAACTGTAAGATCCAGTGTCACAGCAGAATTTCTTGTCACGATCTATTACCCTATTGTCTTAAAAGTAATAAACATGGTTGTATAATTAGTACGAAACTTTCTTTCAAAGTAAGACTGCGTTTTGTCGCATAATATAAACTTGTTCGTTAATAACGTTCATTTCATAATGCATTATTCACAAGATATCTCCGTAAAAACTTCAGTTCTTACCGCGTCTCTAAAAATAATGACAAATGGTAATTAAAAATATCTGTTTGTCTGATGATGTATCTTCTCTCTGTATGTCCATCTATGAAAATGACTTCAGTTTTTACCGCGTATCTAAAAAGAATGACAAATGGTAATTAAAAATATATGTTTGTCTGATGATGTATCTCCTCTCTGTATGTCCATCTATGAAAATGAGGGAAATTATAATGAAAGAAATTTATCTCAATAGAAATAAACGTTTGCTGTTATAATCCACTATCATCGTCCCAAAAAAACTGTTATTCATAAGATCAGAATTGTTGCGGTAAATACCAGTTCATGTTCCTTCACGTAATATCGTAAGTGAATTTCGATGTTAATATAAACTAGACAGGCGATAGACTCATTCACTAAAATGCCGTTTGTATTGGGACACAAACTGGAGTCTCTAGTTCATAATCCGGAATGTCCAGTCAAGTACGAATTACATCATAATAATCTGCGTACTCCCTTCACATTCGGTCCATGATATTCTCGTTACATGAGATGCAGGCATAATGACGAAAATTATCCTCATCGTGTCTAAAAACAACATTCTAGTTTTACAGTTCACACAAAAGAACCTTCTGATACAGAAATTGTAAACGTGAATATTATTCAGGGTAACATTTTATTATTTTCATGGAAGATTTGAAATTTTGTGAAAGCGATTTAAATCAATCTTGAACTAAAATACGAATTATAAATTCAAGGACGAAAACAGACTGAGGGAGTCTGAGGAAAGGGCGGGGAGAACATCTGGACCTAAGACTGAGTCTGAAGGCTACATAATGAAGAGCCTCACTTAATTAAACACTGTTGAGATGATCAAATCGAGACAGACACGATAGGTGGGCATGTAGCACGGATGGGAGAGAGAGAAGAAATGCATACAAAATTTTGATAGGGAAACCGAATAAAAAAATAATATTTTAAATAGGTAATAATTGCCACAAAACTGATAAACGGTTGACATCAGGAGATTTTTTTTTAAAGAAATTCTTGATGACTATACGAATTACAAACAGGAAAACGTGTAACATCCGGCTCCATATAGACCCACGTCACTTATAAGATCAGAGAATCGAGGTCAACGTGTTGTTCTACAAGAAGCAATCAAATTAGGAAAACCAGGGCCACAGACTCATGGACCATGTCTTTCACTTATAAGCCAACACAGTCACATGACGTTAAGGTTATTGCCAACAGCAGCAAAGTCTGTGAGGAACTACCCTCCTTTAGTATTCTGTGGAAAAATTCGATTACATGGGAGAATAATTCTCGGTTTCTCCTATTCGGGAGATACCAGCATCAGAACTGGGCCAAGGCATTGCCTTTTCTGAACGAAGTTTTCTTGGTTTTTAAAAAAGAAGAGCAGGGCAGAAAAACCAGAGATGCTTTTTTGAAAGAGCAGCGACTGCATATTGACTGCCTGATCATGCGCACAAAGAACATGAAATGAAGACAGTTTACATTAACACACAAATAATAAAACATCAGACACAAAAGTGTAAGCAGTTATCGTGGATTACTTTGGAGAGATTCAAAGGAAAAGATTACAAGTCAGTAACATAGAACTCTTAAAACACAATAGCAACTATATACACTACTTGCTACAACATTCAATAACTCTTCAGTTAAATGCATATTGAATTGTTTTCTTCGTTACATATGATTTACAGAATAAACTTAAATTACATTATTTTACAGTATTAACCAAATTATCGTTGTCAGGTTGACAGGATGTGATTTCTTTGAGATACGGACTGAATTTTTAAATAACATTTAGATTAACTTGGGGCTTAAAATATTTACGAATACAAGGATTAGAGACAGAATAGGTACAGTAAGGTTTAGCCAAATGGAGGTTTAAAATTTTTAGTGAAAAAACCATGACGTCATATAGGATTTTAATAATAAATTGTAATTAATTAATAAAGTACTGATTGCTTATCAAGGTTTGAAGTTGTTATGGTGGTTGTAGTAGTCTTTAATTGCGTTATCTCTAGCCCAAATTTAATGAAAATCCGACCATCCATAAAATTTGTATAGACAGATGTCAACTGTGTGAGGTTAAGTTATCATGGTGTCTCCTGACGAGTTTTAACATCCATAACGTTGGTATTACTGTGTAGAAAATTAAAAAGCGTGAGTCTGAAATAATCTCAAGAGGCATACCAAATTTCATAAAAATCCGCTCAGCCGTTTTAGAATTATTAAATGAGTACTGTCGTAAGATAACGTCATCGGGGGCGTGTCGCGCATGCGCGGTGAATCGTGTGTAATTGTATCAGCACAGTCCCACCTCAGCAGACGTGGACACTTTGACGACTCTGTGCTAGCAATTACCTGGTAATATTAAGAAGACCACGAACAATTCTATCGCTATAAAAGATAAACTTTTCGAAATTAGAATGGGATGTCTCCAGAATATGAGACATGCGTGCTAACCACTCAACCACTATGGTCGTTAATAAAATGTTCGATTGAATACGGATGTATACGACCTCGGTATTTTAAAGATATGATTATTGTAGCACTGTATGTTTTATGGGTCTGAGGAAAACCACTAAAATAATTAATCTTCATATCCACCAAGTAGTAAATAATGAATTCATAACGAATGTTGGACCACAGGCTAATATTTGATCGCACACGATGTAACAATATCATCACAAAATACGTGCACTAATTTATTAACACTTATTACGACTTTGATTTTATAAAATAATGGTAAATAAACCGTTATGTTTACCTTTAATATCTGTAGAATCCGGTGGTTCCAACTCATCTGAGGGTTACAGTGTTGGCATTAAGTAGTCGTTGTTCACCATTGTTTCATGTTATTAAAATGATTTTAACATATATGGAAACACAATCACTGTATTTAAACGTATTATTACCACTGCATTCCACTCTAAACACAAATACACGATCAGATATTCCTTAAAAGCTTCACGTAAATTCTATGTAAACATCAACAGGCGGACGGAACCGGAACTTTGTATTTCCCCCACCTCCCTCTCTTCGATGCCTCCAATGGCACCAACATGCACGACTCTCGTAGAGGGTAAATTTCCCGCCTGCAGACGCATCAAAGGCAGTGTTTAACAAATTGTGGTCCGCGTACCACTAGTGGTACCCAAAAGATGTTTAAGGGGTACGAGACATGAAATATATTTTTTTATAAATTTGTTCAAGGGCGTCTGCTATCAGATAAACTGTAATATGTGTACTATTGAAAAAAACGCGTTAATACCTATAAGAGATCTCAAGTTAATGTACGTTTACTTACATTGTACTTGTTACGTAAAGCTTGGTTTACGAGATAACTGACATTGATATAATTGGGATTTGAAAATGTTTATAAAGTCTGGGAAAGTGACTAAAATTATTATTATATATGCCGATCGGTTTGACGTTACACGAGAGATTATATTTTGAATTTTAAATGAAATATACGAGCTGAGTATGAAAATAAAGTGCTGGAAAAAAATTTTAATGACAGGTCTCTCTTACGCTAAATTATATATAATTTTAGACTTAATTTTTTTTTTTCAAGCTTATGGACCACGTTCCTGCAATGCCTTTTACGTCAAATTCCACGTGGATTTTTTTCTTCTGAAACAGTACACGTATAAACGGTCATTAGTTAGTGACCAGAAAACCTGAAAACACAGGAGAAATTACAGGGTTTGATTCCCGGAGGCGCGTTACATGTGTCAAGGTTATTTAGAGTATAAATTACTGTCTCTTACGTTGATGCTAAAAATTAATGGAGAGGAGATGATTGTGGTTAATTTTGTGGCCACATCCAAACATTCTTCAGTGGACAAAGCTATTGGTCAGAGTCCTTGAGAAGCTGTTATTGGCACAGCTGGTCAATAAATCCACGGCCCTGTACGAAACTGTAAGCTTTGTTACCATGTTTAAAATCCTTGAAAACTGGTCTGTATCCTGAACTGGTTGAATTTAACCCACACTTGAAAACGCCCAGTCTAATATATTATTTTACATCTGTGACTAAGTCTCTAAAGTTCTTTCTTTCCTACAGAGTTGTATAGGATATAATCTTTTAGGCTCTTCTCGTTGAAAAACTCATCCTCTGTGATTTGTCTGCCTTGATAATATTAGCTTTTTCATGAGTGTTTATGCACAGTGCGTGAGTTTTACTCGCGGACGGACAGCTTTGGAGCAACCTTGCTTCCACGAGGTAGGTGGTTGATATCGCAATACGGTCTGCCGTGCGTGGGAGCCTGTCGGTCCAGTGACCCCACTCCTGAGGCGATACAGCTGTTACCTGAGTCATTCCAAGACCAAGAGCACGGAGCACCAACTACTGAGTGCAAGTAAGACGTACGTCGCGGCGAGGCTCACAAACTATCAGCTTTTAGCTGCCTTTACGCCGATAAATGTAAAATTTTCGATCAACTTCAATTCGTATTTCTGAAAACACAAAATCAATTTTACCATCCGTATCGCGTATTTCTCAATGTCGTCTGTGACTTGGATTCTATCATTATTTCCATCATCGTCTAAATAATATTTAATAAAAAAGACGACAGTCCGTACCTCAAAGAAAACACAGCTCATCTCCATGACAACCGATCAGTTGGTTAATACTGTTCAGCTGTTTATTCTGAGAATCATATGTAACAAATTAATAAAACGTGGGTTGAAAGGTTTAATGCTAATTTGAGATCTATTCTTGTGAGCGAATTATCGCTCAGTTTCGGTGAGATTTATGCCATTCTTGGTTCAAAGCGTCGTTGCCTGTAGTAATCTCGACCACTGGGTGTGTCGACTGCCCCGCTATCTAGCGCAGAGAGTATAAAAAGCTACGGAGGTCCATGTGTCGTTAGTTATTGACTTTGCATTCGAGTAAAAGCAGCTAATTCAATCTCAACATGAAGGTTCTGGTAAGTTTCAATTGGCGATGCTGACCAGTGGCTCCCAGTCTTAATAATTCACAAGCGGAGGGCCTAGACCTATAACTTCGATCAGCATTAACTTCATAAAATGTGAATCACATGATAGTACATGCATATTGCTGTCTTCTGGGATGGATAACAGACGTTTCAGAGGAGCTTACTAAGCTATACAGTTAGGGACCTGACGATGGAGACAGTAAACTTATCCGAAACGTCGTTCGTTTCTATCAGGCTACGAGAGGCAACAACCCAGAAGACGGTAATTTTTGTTCTTGTCGCCGTGAGGACATGAAATCTCGACTTACAAGGTGGCCGTTTCGACTCTCACCCACTAACATTTCGAAGTAGAGTTTTCTCGAATGAGATGACGTCACGGAGTCGTCAGAATATGTCAGTGTGTTAAGAACCGAACGATATTTTACCCTCGACGTTGTACTGTTGGGTTTTTCTTTTATCAAACCTGAAAATGGAAACATGATGTTTCTCCGAAACGCTGGACTCAACCTAGTCCACCCGGCGTTACAAACCGGAAGTCCAACTTCGACAAAGGGTTAACAGTTAGTTTATTAGACGAATGTAACTCCCTAAAGCCGCGCACTTGCTGTATCTATTGACTAAGTGGCGAAATCTTCTGTCTGCTTTAGGCTGTCATCGTACTGGCTCTCGCCGTCGTGGCGTACGCAGAAGACAAGAAGGAGGAACAACAGACAGCCGCCTCATCTGAGAAGAAACAGGACAAGCGAGGTCTTGGTCTGGGATACGGTGTCGCTCCCGCCATCGTATGCCGCCCCCGCCGTCAGCTATGCACATGCCCCAGCTGCCGTAAGTACCTTTGTGATTAATCCTCAGTCACCTTTCTGAAGTCGCCTTTAGATGTGCAGAATTTTTCTTCAATCATATTGCAGGTTTTTGAAAAATATCTTGTGATTCATAAACTAGAGTAAAAGTAAAATTTGTCCCGCTGAACGCCATGTAGGCACTTGGGGGAGGAGAGATGTTATAGCTCCTACTAATTCCTAACCTCGGCACTAGATGGGGTGGGTGGCCAGTTTCACGCCTCGGCCGCGCTTTGATCATAAACCAAAACATAATGAAGTTATTCAACGTCTGTAAATGGTAAAAAAACGGGAGGTCCGTGGTACCTGAAAGAAAGTAATTTGGTCTAGAAATAAAATACAGAAAGGTTTTGTCTCGTCGCCAGACTGCAAGGGCTTTAATTCATGATATTGTAGAACACAACTAAAATAATGTGAGGTTGAAGTTTCATTAATTACGACATTGCGGAATAATACGGACATTAACTGCGTTAATTTTCAGTTACTTTAATGCGGGAAGGAGACACAGATATATCGACTACGACTTGAATTTTTTTTAAAAAAAAAACAGTAGAATGAGACAGATAACTATTCTCTATTTAATGCTTTCGTTTCAGATCGGTTACTCTGCCCCTGCCCTTAGCTACCACCCCGCTCCCGTTGCAAAGGTTGCCTATACTGCCCCCGCCGTTGCTAAGGTAAATCTCGTGGTATTTCAGTTGATGTAGCAAACCGACAAACGATACGATATCGGAATTTAATTAAAAAGGAAGACATTTTACCCTCAGTTTATCACTGTCTTATATAGGCTTACATTGGTGGATAATATTAAAATGAATCTTAAAGGAACGCGGTGTGGTTTGGGATAATTTAACACGGATTTTCCTATGGAACATGGGTTTGAAACTCGGCGTGTCACTGCCAGGGATGAACACGCGTTTAAAATCAGCACGAAATCGATCGATCGTATTACAATTGAGAATTATCCTCAAAAATATCTTAAAAAAAATCTGTGATCACGTACAGGTAAAATATATGTCTTTTTATTTTTACAGATTGCTGCCCCGGTTGCATATTCTGCCCCAGCTTTGAGTTATTCCGCCCCAGCTTTGAGTTATTCTGCCCCAGCCTTGGGTTATGCTGCCCCAGCCTTGGGTTATGCTTCCCCCGCCATCGCTAAGGTAGCCGCTCCCGTCGCTTATGCCGCCCCCGCAGTGGCTAAGTTCGCAGCACCCGCTTATGGACTGTCTACTGCCTATGGTGGTTACGGTTATGGTGGTCTGGGATATCTTCACTAAGTCAAACAGGTAAGTAACATCTTTTGTGTCGTCAGACTTTACGACGACAACCCAGCAGACCAACATCGACGTAATGTCTATTCTGTTACTAATCTGTGTTTTAACTGCTTATATTGGTATTTTTATACATCATTGAACCTCGTATCAAAATTTTACACTGAACTGAATAAAGTCACGAGGCATTTGTGGTTGAGAAGTTCCGTGCTAGAATTATTAAGGCGTAGGACAAACACGGAGAATAAATCTAAGTCGGAAACTAGGCGAAACTTTTTTGTTCTGGAACTTTCATAGCGCAAAGTTTCTCTCTTGAGATTCAAGTGGGAACTCTGTCGCTCTGTCAATGAACTAAGAACAGTCGAACGTCGAATCATTCCTTTAAATCTCATGTGGCCATCAATTTTGGAGAGAACTCAGAGCGAGAAACATAACCTTGCTTTAATTGAAAAAGGATGTTTTCTACACGCTTTTTTATATTCTAATCAGTTTTATTATTTACGTATTTACATCAATTAACGCCCATATTTTAAAAGTATCTAGTGTATATTTAATTCTTTATAAATATGACAAATTAATGTTATTATAACCATACACTTATTAATTCATAAGGCCACGTCGTGTTGCAAGACCAGTTAAAGTCTCAGTATTTAACCGCTTGAAGTCCAAGTTCATTTAAATGAATATTTATTAATTTATTCCTTACTTAAAAGAGAACACAATGCCTCTCTATGACGACTATCACTAGGTTAATGCTGTTTAAATTCGAGCCTTTAAAGGGTTAAACATAACACAAGAAAAAATATTCAACTTACTAGGTGCTACCCAAAATTTCGGGGAATTTCAATTCCACGCGCGAACCGGTTGTGGAGTGGCCTGCCGCCGCTAGATGGGGCGAGCAGTACCTTTTGTGAATTAATGTGCCGACAGCCATGAAGGCGAGGCGTTCTTGAGTCTCGTTCGTTTTTGTAACGTTGTGTTGTAGTGGTTCAGCGATACAGATTTTAAGAAGCAAGGAATCTGCACCAAATTTTGCTTTAAGCTTAAAAAAAACTGCTGTAGAAACCCACCGTGTGCTTGTGGAAGCATTTGGTGAGAATGCAATGAGTCAAACTAAAATCTTTTTGTGAAACAAACGCTTTAAGGATGGACGAACGTCTCTCGACGGCGATGAGTCCATGATGATCTTTTCTTTTGACATCCAAGGCAATGTCCACAAGGAATTTGTCCACCCTGGAAGTTTTATTGTGAAGTTTTGAAGCGGCTAGGGGAGAGTATTAGGCCGAAACGTCCGTAAAAGTGGGAGAACAACACAATTGAGGAGATCCAGGCAGAATCCCAGGAGGTGCTTGAAACACTCACAGTTGAAAACTTCCAGGGATGCACGGAATCATGGAATAAACGCTGTATCCATGCCCAAGGGAACTACTTCGAAGGAGACGGTGGGAACTAGGAGTTATGACAAGAAATTTTCTTTTTATGGGCAAATTCCCTAAACTTTTGGGTAGCACCTCGTAGAAAAATTGAAAATAAAACTGTTATTAATCGATTACTTTTTTGTTATTTTTACAGAATTAGTCCGACTGTTCGATGTAGCTAATGGATCATCGAAGTGATTAGCTCCTTGTTCAGCGGACAACCGTCTTCTACAGGTTTAATTCTACTCCGTAGAAAAAGAAACTTTATATTTATTCATATTTCTGGAAATCATTTGTATTTATTAAAGCAGAACATCTATTTATTTGATTTATTTAACGTAATGCAAATTGATGTTACAGAATACGTACTGATGATTTAATGTTTACAAATGAACACATTCGAAATTTATGTTTTAAATATCTGTCTAATTCCTTCTGCTTATTTTGCAATAATTGGTAAAATAAATCACTTTTATCACTTACCTATAAAAATTGTAAATCTCAATAATTCCAAATACGACCCAATCCATTTCCTCCTCAAAATTTTCCTTACAGATTTATAAATTACTACGTAAATACCAAATTATGAAAACCGAATCATTCAAAAATGCCTTTGAAATGCGTTATCTGCGTTCCAGTTATGAAGTTAACATATTTCAGGTGCTAAGATTTCACGTATTTAATTAATCTTACTAGGAGGATGCTGCGAAAATCTTACTTTGTCTTCTGCGAACTTATCTTATAGGACATATACCGCTTTAACCCGGCACTAACACTCTGAAGCAGAAAGTAGTGCCAGGCGGGTCGTATCAAGGCGCCTTCATCTCGTCTCGTGATCCATAATTTGGCATTTAAATGAGACAGCTGTCTTCTCCCTCTGATCTGAAGGCGGTGCGTCACTTTAAGACTATAAGCGCTTAACGGCGTATTCTGATCATTTCAGAGAATTCTAGATTGAATCCAATATTCGACCACATGGTGCAATCCTTTCAAAATGACAGAGTCCTAATTTCCATGCCTGAGATATATTTGTACCTCTCATGTAAGAGAGTTTGGCTTGTCAAAGAGAACGTCTTACACTCAAATGGCGCTGAGCTAAGCATAATTCCACAGACATAAACTTCTTAGATTATCGCATGGAGGAATTTGTTTTACTTAAACAATATTAGAGGAATGTAAAAACGTTCTATGGGCATAACTAATTAAATATATGAAGATGACCGTCTTCTGGGTTGTTGTTACGTGTAGTGTAATAAAAAAATTACCTATGTTTCGGAGGTCTTTGCAGCGACCATTATCAGGGCGACTGCCAGTCATATTCGGACTCACCGCCGTTGAAACTTAAAATCCTTACTAAGTAAATATACATATTGCATATTGTTGTCTTCGGATTTTCCCTACGACTTAATATTTACAGAGCAAAATTTAAGTAACCCATATTTTAGAATATCTTGTGTCAAACGCCATTTTAATTTACGAAAACTATAGAACAATATCCAAGAAGAGGCTCTGGGATTAGAACAAATTTTTCTGAGAAATTTTATATTTAATTATTTTCCAGTCTGGAAAATAGCAAAACAAGTGTCTTCCATTTTGTAAGAAGAAGAAGAGATATCGATCGACCTTAAAAAAGATGGAAATCCAAAGGGGTACCACGAAAATTTCGATATATAACCTCTGAGATTTATTGTACGCGGATATAAATAAATAAATGTGTGTAGGTTCTGTAAAACTGAAAAATGACATAAATCTACAGGTTTAAAGCTTTAAGCTAGTGAAACTTTTATTTGTTCTGTCGGGATAAAAACGTGGGAAGAAAATATTACCTGAGACAACGGGCATCAAAGAATTGCAGCTGGGAAATTATGTTGGTAGTCTGAGCGACATGCGACACCCCGTTCGACTCATCTGCTGTCCTTGAACCTGTTTACTTCAACTTGCGCAGAACGCTGGGTCTAGCTTCACTTGTCTTTCGGTGCAATGAACATCCATTACGAGTTTTATGTCGTGTAATAAGTGACGAAAAGGTGGCGTGTTTTTCTATTCTGTGTGTGTGCGGGTGTGAAAATACTTCAAACAAAACCTAACCTAACGAAACTGGAATTACAGACTAGTATACTATTTAGCTCGTACCATTACAGTTCGTATTTAGTTTGTTTTAGTCGTTTCTTGTGTTTGTGATTAAACATAACCCAGAAGCTGCGCGCGCATACAAAGAGTTTTTGTTGTTCATTTGTCTCAAGTCAAGGTTATGTATCCCATAAACATTACTGGTTACCGCGTGTAGTTTAATGCAAAATGGATATGGAAGTTTATGAAAAGAGAAATGTTAATTTTGGAGTTGAACATAATAATTAAATATAATTATAAAGTTTATACTTTCGCGGTTCTGTAATTTAAATATCAAGCTCGTAATAAAATTGAAATTAATGTGGTTATTTCTTAAACATGAAAGAAAATGATATACATTGTGGTTGTGACATATGAAAATTCATCAAGTGTCGAGAGTGTTACACATAAGTTCAAATGTTTTTAAGGCAAATAGTTATCTATCACGGTCGTAATGCATCATTTGTGTCTATGATCAGAACGTGAAGACGCATTCATTTAGTACACAGCTGAAGAATCACTCTGATGAAGGCAGACACACAGGTAAGATTATAATAAAATAGAATTTGTTTATATTCCATAGATCCTTCACGGGCCTAAGCTAAGGTTGTAATACAAATATAAATACATAGTTATAACAGCTATTTACAGATTTTTGGAACTACAGTATTACAGCAAAATAATTATCATAAGAAACCATCACCATTATTAATTACATTTATTTATAATAGTTTCTTCACCGTTATTAATTACATTTATTTATAATAGTTGAGACTTTTTAGGCAATGTAAATTCTTCTACTGAGTAGGAGTGAGATAGGAGATACTCTTTTAACACTGGTTTAAACATTTTTATATCATGATTTCAACTTTGATAGTAGGTGGAAGATTAATTACTGAATAACTTAATAAAGTATAGCAAACTAATTTTTGATATTTACTGAGGTTAGAATTTGGCACATGAAGGTTGTATCTGTATATTGTTCTTATATTTTGGATAAATTAATTTGTTTGAAATTTTTCCACGTTATCCATGTTTCATGAGTGCTGCAACTGTCCTCATAAGTTTAGAGATAATATATTGAATACGTGTTTCCCAGTTTAACTTGTAGGCCAAGAAATTTATTGTTTCTATTTCTTCAATGATTTAATCATCATAACATATATTTGGATTTTAAAAAATTCTGTTGGTAGTACAAAATTTAATGAAATTTCTTTTGTCAGAATTTAATGTGAGTTTATTGGTGTTCAATCTAGAAAAGACATCATTTATGCAGTTTTGAAAACAGTCAATTTCTGGATCAGCAAAGAGTTTAGGTTTAGATTGAGAGTTGATGGTTCGGGGTAGATCATTGATTGATACATACAAGAAAAATCAGAGGACCGAGTATTGAACCTTGAGGCACTCCGTGTTTTACAAAGCCCCATTTTGAGCTGGTGCTATTATTTAAAATTGATGATTTTATTTCTAATTGCTGTTTTCTGTCATGAAGCTATGATTTAAACCACCGACGAGCTATATTTCGAATTCCATAAAAATTTATTTTTGACAACATGAGCCACGTTTGCCTGATAACTCATTAGACATATTCTTATCTTTTATATCTTACAATTTAATTAAATTTCAAAGTATTAAGACTAAAGAGAACTATTAATAACAATGAATAGATTGGAGATGTGGATCTAATTTATGTCAAGTTATTATATCACACTTGAACACTTCACTTGTAATCATTTTTTTAATTTGTAGGTTAGGCCTAATTCAGTTTGATATATCTGTAGCTTACGAGCTGCATAGTTCAGTCAGTACGGGCTGGACGACCGGGGTTCGATCCCCGACGGGGGGGCAGAGTTTTCTTTACTTTTATCTGTAGCTTCAAGATATGTAAGACAACAAATACAGTAAATAGAGCATTAAACGTAAATATTGAAAGAGAATTTATAACAGAGTTATTATATAAATATGTTACAAGTAAATTGCAAATCACGGATCTGTAAGTTAAAAATTGTTTTTAAGCCAATATGGCGGATACGTAATTCACTGAGTTGCAACGAAAATTCATATATTTTTTAAATTTCCCTATTGGTAAATCAAATTCTTTTTACGTGTATTTAGATTGAAAAGATGGAGTTACGTAAGTACCAAAGTAGCTAATTACACTTGCAGACTTTACAGACCACGTGTGATATAAAATATTACTCAGGCCATTAAAATTAAGTCATTCCAATTTGAAAAAAAAATCGATAAAACCGAAACTCGACGGAGCCCATTTTTACCCAAGAAGATGATTTCTAGCCCCCCACTTTTTTTTTGTACAGTACTCAGAAGTTCATTACCGCGTTCTTATGCTACTTTTGGAAAGTCACGGAATCGTGAAGTGGCTCCTCTCGCGGCTGTGGCAAGTATTAATTTCGCCTTTCTACCCCACCCTACCCTACCACTTCATCCGCTCATTGTGTACGAATGAAGTTGCATGTCGAGTCGTTATAACAGGAGAGCGGCAATCAGGTTTCACCTGTTGTAGGCGACAGGACGCAGTTTGGGATAGTAGACGTTAGAGTACACGATTTAATGCAAATCCGTCAGATTACATCAACAGTAGGTCTTATATTTGAGGTACCCGGTTTGAACCTTCGACGCAATATTTTGTAACACCGGTCGCAAATAATACTCAGTGTGTACGATTTGAGGTTCTCAAGGCGACGAATATGAAAATGCCTGTCTTCTCGGTATTCCCACAATGCATTCTGGTGAATATTGACATACGTTTCAGTGAGTCATCACCCTGATGATGAATGCAGTAACATTTTCTGAAACGTCTGTCATTCCAGAAAATAATATCCCTTAGAATCTGATTGTACTTTTAAAGGCACACAATTACATTTTTAATCTAACATAAAAAAATAAAATTAAAACAAAAACAAAATTCTGATCGCCCTGATAATGGAGGCAGCAATGACCTCTGAAACGTCGGTGAATTTCTACCAGACTACAAGCAAAGTTAATTGAATTATTGTTGCAAATTTCTGAGTACGACTATTAGAAACTACTGCAGATATCGACGTAATTTATTTAATGTTTCAAAATTCCCACTGCAGCCGCGACTCCTAATTGATCAGACCCCTAAGATACAGAACTTGGAATAGATCTTTGAAATATTTCGGAAAAAGACGTTCACAACTCTGGTCGAAAATTTATTGAAGCGCAAATTTGATTGACGAGGCCTCTCATCTCTAGTGTGTCTTCTGTGAAAATGGAAGCGATAAGTTCTGCCGAAACGTCGGTAGCCTCCCGCAAGAAAATACGATGTTACAACCCAAAATTTACACAAAACTAAATACGAGGTTCTACCCAAAAGTTTGTGGAACTTAAA